GCAACTTCTTTTTTTTTATTATGTGATGTTAATCACCATACATTACATCATTAGTTTTTGATGTAGTGTTCCATGATTCATTGTTTGCGTATAACACCCAGTGCTCCATGCAGTCCGCAGCAACTTCTAATAGCGAATTTGGCTTTTGGCAGGACGTTCCCTTATTCAAGTATTTTGGATACCATTGATCATCCAAATCTATGTCCTTGTTCAATGTCAAAGCAACACCTTGGCTCTTATCTATTGAACTGTTAAAGTAACAGTTATTATTGGGGGATGCAAGTCAGAAATAAATCTTAAATATAAAGCTGATTTTTACTACTGCAACCAAGGTCCATGGGCCCAGACAGACCAAGTTTCAAAACTTAGCCATATTACATATTATGTGTGTTATGTTGGATAAAATATACCACTTTTCTATTTCATCAAAATGAGTATAAGAATCCGTACCTCACAATCTTGTTATAAGGATCAAATGACACAATTTATCATGTGCCCAGATCATTCTAGTAACTTAACAGAAATCCCCATTATGGGACTTTATCTTGCAGATGCTCAGTTCTCCCATCTGTATTTTTTTCCCTAATGAAAATCTATTCTCCCTTTTGATGATAACAGAATGCCATTTTTCTCCTTTTTAGCAATCATCTCTCCCCTAACCTTGAACCATGCAGTTGGACTGGGACTCAACCCCATCTCCTATTTCAGGCCCCTGACCTACATGAGTAATGTACCACCTTCTATAGCCTTGACCACTCAGATTCAATCCCTGGAAATATAAGGAAAGAGGCAGGCTGGTTTGATAGGGCTTCTAAACTGTTAGAAAGTAGACTAAAGCTGATAATGTCCACATTGCCACAAATGAGAAAACCAACCTGAGAATGAAACCAGCAGGGGAAGAAAACAAGATTAATAGATGTAAAAGGTGAGCCACTATTAAGAATATTATTACTATTAGTCAGTGGGCACTTAATACAATTCTTAGGTGCCAGGCATGTAACCAGTTCATGAAAAACAACTCATTTAATGAAGTACAGGTATTAATTATCTTCACAGAGGAAAAAAAACTGAGGCTCACAGGAACAACTTCCCCGTGGTCCCTTACTGAGTAAATGGCAGAGCTGGAACCCACACCTCAGTATCTCTGAGCCCCTTAATCTCCAGGCTGTACTCCCAGGGTAATTGATTTCTGACATAATAAAGAACAAGACTGCTATCATGGTTAATTAAATAAAAAGAACACCTCCTCTGTTAAGGGCAATATTGTACTAAGACGTGTTTTATACGCTGATATATATATATATATATATACACACACACATACACACACACACACGTAAATCTGTTTTAAAAACAATATGAACTCCTCGGAGGAAAGTTCGTATTTATGTTCGTTATGGGAGTATGAACAGCAACCACTGTGATTACGTAAGAATACGCTCTTATGTTCCAGAATAATTTTCCAATTGCCATTGACTACTTTCAGAGGCGGCAATGCTATTGCCACCCAAAAGAGGTATTTTTTAAGTGGACTAGGTGATGGGGAAAAGACATGAATTAATCTTCATTTTTCTCTGGGGGAAATGCTATGTTATTACCCAGAGTCACTTACACTAGAAAATTTATCACTAGAAAAGTTGCCCCCAGCCCTTTCCACACCCCCACAGCCAGGCTCCAAGCAAAAATGATTAAAGGGGGCCTCTTTTAATTAAGCTTGCTGAACAAGCCAAATAGCCCCACAGTTCCCATGTAATTTGAAGCAATTGGTTTCCAGGAGTGAGTCTAATAAATACCGCTCTGACTGACCCCTCTGTTGCCAGCCTCAGGAAGTTGCTCAGTCAGAAATACAGACCATGTGGCCAGAGATCAAGAGATTTTCATCAACAGTCATGTGCACTGTGCAATTTATAAGGTCTCATGCCTTCTCTGGAAAAACCAACAGAGCTTAAAGAATCCATGGGGGCCATCTGCCAAGCCCAGTCAGAGACATACTCATGCAGGCACTGTGGCCAAAAGAGCTTCGGGTTTTCTCTACTCACCTGCCTGAATGGGCTGGGTTTCCAGAGCTCACAGCCCCAGCCCAGAAAAAAAGGCCAAGAGGCAGAGGCAAGGAAGTCCACTGATTTAGCTGAGCATGGGCCTTGGAGCCAGACTGCCTGCATTTGAATCCTGGCTCTGCTACTTTCCGGCTGTGTGACCTTGGCTAAACTAGTTAACCTCTCCATGCTGTAAGTTCCCCATCTGTGAATGATGATAATGCAAGACTTACTTCATTAAACTGTTAGGGGAATTAAACAGCTTAAGTTTGAATCACGCTTATCACAATGTTAGGGCTTGAATGGAGAAGCTGTGTCTCTCTGTTCCCAAAGGTAGAAGGAGGGGCATTATTTATTTTACTTAATGGACAGATTAATCAGAACTCATCCACAATCATTTTTATAAAGATAATGATATTATGACATTTAGTTACAAGGGCTTTGCTAATCAGGCTTTCAGATAAAAGACCCCTATTCAAAGAATAGATAAGAATGTTTGCAATTAGCACCAGCCAAAGCAATGATGGGGTCTGTTCACCTCATAATGCTGTGTGTAAATAAGACCTTTAGTGAGCTAGAAAATATTCTGTTCCATGTACCACCTACATGGAAAATATTCTCATCTCAGTTCTTTTTTCTTGTCTTTCTTTTTAGTCAACATTTTTCTTCCTTTCTACTGGTAAGAACACATGTCCATCCAGTCCTCTGTGAATTACAACTTTCTACTTTCCTTTGCTGGGTCCACAGGCAGCTATTTCAAGTCACTCAGAATCTGGATGTGAAAGATTGGTCCCTTACACTTTCTCATTGGCAAACTATCAACTCCATTGCCAGGTTAAATTAGGTGGGCTCCATTAGTTTATTTTAGTCCTTCATTTATTTATTTTCTGAAGCCTTTCTTTGCACATACGGCACCAAGTAAAGACAGAATGAAAAACAAAAACAGAAACAAAACAACATGGGCCCTCTTTCCAAAAAGTGACTTTATACTTTACAGGCAAAACATACAGAGGTTTGAGGTGTCATGTAAATAAGCGACAGGATGAGTAAGAGAGGAGGAGATGAAATGCTGACCAGAGAAGGTAGGCTCAGTGACAGCTAGAGTGGAATACCCGGAGAGGGAGAGGCCAATGTGGACCCTGAGAGCAAGACTCCAGCCATTGCTGAGCCCGAACAGCAGCAGGAAAGAGGTGAACAGCTTCTGTGCAACAAAATCCTTCTTTAGTTATAAATGTCTCTTTCCGATGGAGGAAAATTAGGTATCATTCCATATAGAAGTCCCTCTGTGTTATCTTTGAGCCCCTTTGTTTGCAAACGACTTGTCCTTCACTTTTTCAGGCAGTTTCACAAGCATTTTAAGAGATTCCTCTAATGCAGCTCCTCTGGCTTTCAGTTCCCACAGGGGTTTTTAGGGCAGGGTTTGAAAACCAGAAAGATGAAAATGCATTGCCCTTAGAAGTGAGAGAATTGGGGTGGGTGTGGGGAGCTAGCAGGCACCTGTAAGTCCAAAGGCTGATAAGAAGCAGTACGATTTCAGGAGTAAAGGGGAGACACCTTTCAGAGTTGCAGGGAGCCTGTTGGCCCCTAAAAGGTCATGGTTCCAATGATTCTGAATGATGTGGACATGAGATATTGAAACTCTTACTTGAGCTAGTTCTTATAGTACTGTTTATACCAGCAAAAGTCTAGAAACAACCTTTACCGTGGGCAAATTAGGTCAAGCAGGGTAGAGTCATATCTTTTGGCAAACATTAGGTTGTAAATTCAAAAGCAACTGATAGGTAAAGTCAAAATTACACCAGAATGCTTCTTACTTTGCTCTTACTTTGTCAGGATCTAGGCCTTTAGAAACTCAAAAACCAAAAAGAACTTGTATTATTTCCTTTCTTTTCAATTGTGGCCACTGGTTCCCATGGAGGGACAACATCTCTAGTTTAAACAGGGGGATGGGCACAGGTGGTAAAGAAAAGGAAGACTATTACTTTCTTTGCTTCCTTCTTTCTTTTGCTCCTCCTCTGTTCTCCCCTGTGTGTGGACACAGCGAGAAGCCAGCCCTCTGCAGTATCCTGAACCATCCTCTGAAATATCCTGGTCTTCACCAGGAACTGAATCTGCCAGCCCCTTGACCTTGGACTTCCTGGCCTCAAGAACCATGAGAAATAAATGTGTTGTTTAAGCTACCGACTCTATGGTGTTGTGTTACAGCAGGCCAAGCTAAGAATATATATATATGTATGTTTGGTAACTCACAGAATAGTTATGGAAGGAGAAATAAGAAACTAAGAATGCTGGTTGTGTCCGATACAATGAGGAGATCAAGGAGATGTGAAATCAAGAATGGAAGGAAGATCTACTTTTAGGCTAATAAGATCTACTTATTTACACTGAAAACCCTTATTTTAACATGTAACATATGTGTGTATAATGCTTTTAGTAATAAAAGCCAGTATTAAAATGTTTTTAAGTGTCTATTTCACAAGTCCCATCAAAATATAACAAAACAGCAGTTACGAAGCCCTTGTTGTTCACTAATCTCAATGATCTATTTGGAGCTCATTGAGTATTCGGTGGTACAACTTTTTTTTTTAAAGATTTATTTATTTATTTGAAAGAGAGAGAGAATGAGAGAGAGAGAGAGCACATGAGAGGGGGGAAGGTCAGAGGGAGAAGCAGACTCCCCGCTGAGCAGGGAGCCCGATGCGGGACTTGATCCTGGGACTCCAGGATCATGACCCAAGCCGAAGGCACTCGCTCAATCAACTGAGCCACCCAGGCGCCTTCGGTGGTACAGCTTTAACATTCCCTTGAAATGCTGACTATTCCAGCATCACATCCTGTCCTACGGGGATGTGGGCATATCTCGATAAGGACAAACCTCATGTGAGAGATCTGGGTGAGAAAAAGATTCCAATGCTCATTTTCTAGGTGATCCCTTAATGGGCTACAAGATAAAAAGAGACTTACCAGTAGAACCTGTTTGGTATGACCCCTTCCTGGATAAGCTGCCACCTTCTCCCAAATTCAGCAGAGCTGTATAACTGTAGAGAAGAGAAATTATTTAGCACCTTGACCCCAGGGTACATTAAATATACAAATATTAGTTCACTGGCTCAATATTAATAACAATCACAACAACAATAGTAGTACCTACCGTTTATTGAGTACCTGCCATAGGCCAGGTGAATGATCCACATATCATCTCTACTCCTCATATGCATTCTGCAAGGTGGATGTTAGTATCTCCACCTTACAACTGAGAAAGCTGAAGCTCAGGAAGATTACATGATTTGTTGGAAGTCACATGCCCTCCAAACTTGAGAATGAGCTGGGATTCATACCCCGTTCTACCTGGTGACAGAATCAGCAGTGCCACTTGACCTAGCCTGTGCAGATCACTGTGTGGAATACAGAGAAGTACAAAATCTGAGATCTGTCTCTTGAAGAGCAGATAGTGTAACCTGCACCTGACTAAAATCACGAGAAATGCATGAGGCCACCAGTGACAGAGGGATGCCAAGGAAGGAGAATCAGAAGTCAGTTAGGGATGCTTCACAGATGTGTGCGGATACAGCTGAGGTCCAAATGAATGGCAGCGTTCAAACTGACAGAAATGGGACAGGCGTGGCACAAGGAGCAACCGTGGGTCAGAGCGGTGGGATATGCAGGGACAGTATATGAATAAACCTGGCTTATCTAAATAAGTGTAGACGTGAATGTTGAGGGCAGCTTGGAACATGGCTTCAGATGGCAAGTTCGGGAGACCGGAACTGACCCTGTGGCTGGTCTTTTCGACAACAGCCAGAGAAGCTTCACGCTATCCAGGCAGCCCACACGGACTACACTGTGATCCAAGTGCTTCCCATGCATTATTTCATTTAATCCACACGCCATCGCTGTGATAGTATCTGAAGTTATTTTACAGATGGCTCTACAGCTGGTAAGAGTTCAAGTCCACATGCTACACTGCTTCAGTACTCTCCGAGGGCAACTGCAAAGAAGCAGTACTCATGAGACAGGGTCTAACGGTCCACATGCTCCCTCCTCTCCAAACATGATTCTCTTACTTCCTGCTTTGTATCTTGGCTCACTCCACACCTCTGCTCTTCTCCAAAAATCTTCACAGCTCCATGGAAGTACCCTCTGATGGCAGCCTGGAGATCCCTGTTGCTCCAGGCATTCTGGTTCCCATGGACTACTGGCTACTGCTTTGATAAATATCATTTGGACTATCTCCTTTCTACTATGTGCCTCGTCTGTAACCTACTGACACTCCAATCTTCCACCACTGCATTCGCCCAATCCCACAGTGAATGGATAATGAGCCATACCATCCTGAGTACCATGATTGCCCAGCCTTGTCCTGTCTCCAGCTCCAGCACTCAGTGAAGGGTCAAATGACTCACCAAGTGATTCACCCCAGTTGCAGATGCACTGGGCAAGTCTAGGAACAGGTCAGCTCAAGTGACTATTTACCAACCCTTGGAAGAGCTTCCTATGATATTGTGTCCATTGGATCAAAAAACATTCTAAAGCCCCCCCAAAAAGAAGCTGAAATATGTGATTACTAAGCAAGCAGCTCAATTGGCTCAAACTACATAGTATTTGGGCATCCAGTCAAAGAGAATCTGTGGCTTTTTCTTTTAAGTCTTACTATTTTTTCTCTGCCTCATTATGCCTGGGTACATTTTATGCTTGATTCCTCTTAAGAGTGGTAAGGGGAGATGGGGAGGCAGTTCCCCTCACAGAAATAACAGAGGATGGGGACAATGCATTTCCTCTTAATTCCAAACCCAAGTGGCCAGAGTGTGCACGTCCTGCTTCTGGTTCACCAGCATGTTCCAAACACTTGGCATCTGACTACACAGACTTGTAGAATAACAACAAGCACCTGGGTTTGGGAGGATCTGCTTCTCCCGCTCCCCTTGCTCTTTTTTTTTTAAAGCCCACAGCTGCACTTCTTCCCATGAGTTTAAAGAGAATTGAATGGAAAGTCATCAGAGAGGGAGAAAGACCATGAGAGACTCTTAACCATAGGAAAGGAATTGAGGGTTGCTGGAGGGGAGGTAAGTGGGGGATGGGGTAACTGGGTGATGGGCATTAAGGAGGGCACGTGATGTAATGAGCACTGGGTGTTATACACAACAAGGAATTACTGAACTCTACATCTGAAACGAATAATGTACTATATGTTGGCTAATTGAATTTAAATAAAAAAAGAAAAAATAAAGAGAATAGAGTTCACACCATTGTGCCTGTGTCTATATATAAATATATGTTAACATCTATATTTATATACAAAGACTTATGCAAATATAACAGAATCAGGATGGCTTGAAATAATAACAATTCTGCACGTGAGGCTGGACTCACGTATATCTTGAAAATCAAATATTAACTCTGAGGGCTCATACGGTGACACCAAGGATTGCCATCCCTGCCCCCACACAAAATTTATCTTTGTGAGGAATTACTGGGTGCCACCATCTGTGTGTGTGTGTGTGTGTGTCTTTTTTAACTGATCCCCCTCGGCTTGGATGCAGAATCTGTGGACCAGTCAGGTACGTCCCATGATATTTGTTTTTATCCTCTTCAAGGGGCTGCTTTGTTATCTGTGAGCATCCAAAGGGATACCAGACAATCCAATAAACCAAGGCTCTATTATTCAGCTCAGTGACATTCTTTTCCATTTTCTCTCTCGAAAAGGACCCTTTGGTGCTGACGGATGCACCTTCTCACTTTCTCACTCACATCTGAGCAGGCTTCCTTTGTGTGTCTTCACTGATGCTCCCCATTCTGGCTGAGGTGGCTTTAAGACTTGTCTACCTCACTGCCAGTCCTCTTTTTAGGCCCAAAGTATGCCTTTTCTATGAACCTTCTCCTAGACACTAAAATTCCCTGTGGCCTCATTTCCATGGTTCAACAGATGGTATCAAGCTACAGGCCACATATTTATATTTAATTTTCTTAGGAACCTTCCAAGAGAGCCATCTATGGATGCAAGGCAGAAATTCCTTCCTTTCTAAAGTCACTCTAAAATATCTGAGACCACTCCCTCTGCCCCTTCAATGAAACCACAAAGTTTACAGGTGTTGGGAATCCTTTCCTTTTTAGCACATAGTAGATTGGCAAGGGGGAAAGAAGTGTCAATTTCGCACCCTGCAAATTCCCTAGTGATGAATCTATCTAGTAAAGTACCCAGGTTTCCCAATGGGTGGACAAAGGTAACTTATCAGAGGAATATATTTTATTTCCATGGAGCCATGGTAGAGACCTATACCTAAAAAACAAACAAATGAACAAACCAGAACTATAAATATCAGTATATTTGAAGCTTCCAAAGATTTGGAAGCAGGGTCTTGCATATTTACCCTTAGCCAAAGCTGCTCTGTATACTCCACCTACTATTTCAAATATTTTCCCCCTATTGTCCAGCCTGGTGTCATACCTAAAGGAGACAACAACAACTCACAGCCACTCAGGTTAATGTGTTAATTAAACCTGCAGAGTCTGACAGCCAAGTTCTCTTCCACAAAGAAGAGAAAAGTATCAAAGCCTCTTACCCAATGACACTGTCTCGGCTGCCAGTGGAAGGCTTTTCCTGAAAAACGAGTCAACGTCCTTTAATAAAATTCATAGTGTTGGCGGCACCTAAATAAGATTTATTTCCTTCTCAGTCTATCTCTGGCTCTGAGGTTTCTTTTGACCATCAGAACACAGAACTGAGAACTATCAGTACTATCTGTCACATCAGAGAAAGCAGAGCACCTTTCTCCAGCAATGCTGAAGAAAGAGAAAGAGAGTGAGTGAGAAAGAAAGAGAGAGAGAGAGAGAGGTATCAGGGAAAGGAAGACAGAATATATGAATTAGCTTTAGGAGGGCAACATTCATCTGCTAACCTCTGTCATAAACCCCAAAACACCATTCTTGGAGGAGTTTTGGCTTTGTTTTTGTTGTGCTAACTCTGGTACAAAGTACCGGGGAAATTTTTTGCAGGAGTAGAAATTTTAGAAAGAGAACAAGGAAAAGATTCTGGTTGACTAAGAACGCAAGGCAGAAAGTCCTTCCTGTCTCAAATCATCCCAAACTCTCCAAGACTGCTTCCCTGCCTCAGTAAAAAGAACTTAATGAGCACAAACCCAATGCTCTTCTACGCTCAAGATCTACTGTCAGCCTCAGGGCCTGACCCTCCACTCTGTCATTATGCGGGTCCAGGGCTGTCAATACTTCTGCCTCCTGCCACGCTCCTCTCCTGTTGGTCTCTCTCTCCTCCTCCTTCCCTCCCTCCTTCCTTCCCGTTTTCTTTACTTATTTTTTTTTTTCTCTTTTAGACATCCCTCACATTGGCTTGTTTTCTTGCCATCTGCCTTTGTCTGCTGTAAGAAGAGTACAGATAAAAATACAGTTAATTGCAAAGGAGGCAATGGGGAGGGTTAGTTTTGTGAGGAGCTTTGAACCAGTTGCTCAGTCATCTCTGGCACCATCCTCAGGAGGCTGCAGAGCTGCAAGCTGGATTAGGGGCACAGGTGTGGAGGGAGGATAAGAGGGGATGCCAGGGGCAGACAAATAACGGGGGGGGGGGTGGCTGGGAAACAGTGAGATTCACTGGCATAGCTCAGCATTCCTGATCTAGAGCAGACTAAAATGGGGTGAGAGAAGGGGGGGTATGAGAGCAGCTGTGGCCAATGTTCATTTTCCATCTTCTTAGCATCCACGTGGTGGTTGAAGCCCTAGCAGAGTAGCATCTTTCTTTGGAGAGAAATTCAACTTCCTTGTGCTGATGCAAAAGCGTGCACTCATCACTGTCCCTGGAGAGTCTTCTCAATATTTCCAAATCAGATCAATGTGGCTCCTCTTTTCAAGTCAGACAGGTACACTTTAGGGATTTTCTTCTGTGGCTAGGAAACTGGTGCAAGAACACAATTTGGTAAGAGGGAGGAGTGATAACATGTTTTAAATCTTTGGTTGATGGGATTGAATGCTTTCCCCACAAAGCTCCTCATGGAGACATTCCAGGTCAGGAGGTAGATTCCGGGTCTCC